CCCCCCCCTCCTCACCCCCCTGTTCAACGCCCTGCTCGACGCCCTGCTCAACGCCTCTCGCGGCCCTTGCAGCGCCTGCTCGCCCTGGACATCAGCAAGCGCGGGGGTGTGTGGTGGGCGGCCGCGCCGCCGCCTCCGCCGCCCCCGCTGGCGCCTGCCTCATCCACCCCGTCAACGTCCCCCGCCTCCCCCTGGGGCCCGGGCCCGCCCGCACCCGTCCGTCAACGGGGTCCTCCTGCTCCTGGCTCGCCCCGAGGCTCGCCCGCCCGGCGGCGCCTCCTGCCCGCCGTGCCGCCCGCCAGGCTCGAGGACGTCGTCTACTCCGTCTACTCCGTTGACTCCGTCTACTCAACCGTGAGTGAGAGTGAGGAGCGCGGGGCCGGGGTGGCCGTCCTCTGCCATCCCCCCCATCTTACTCTCTTTCTTCGCCGGCTGCCTTTCCTGTCCCCCTCTTTTCACCCTTGCACCCGCAGCCGCCCCGGGAACCTTCTAACCAAAACCACATCTGCATGGAACGCCGTCCGCTGTCCGCTGTCCTCCTCCCCTGTTCGGCTCTGTCCATCACGCGGTCTATCTGCCTGCTGTCCCCGCCTGCTGCTCTCCTTTAATTGCTCCCTTCACGCGCACTTCTCACAGCACGCCGTCGCACTCATGGATTTAACCAGCGCACTCGCTTTGCGCGTGCACCTACTCACTCCCGTTAACTCTATCTGTCAACTGTCTGTCTGTCTGTTTTTCATTTTGTCTATGTCTGTCCTCTGTAGGGTTGGTAATTTCCCAAATTTTCCGGAAAATTTCCGAAAATATACGAAAAAAACAAAAAACTTTTCAAAATGTGGGAAATTTTTCATTTTTTCCCGGAAATTTTCCGTCTTTTGCAGAAATTTTCCAGAAATTTTCCGGAAAATTTCCAGGCTTCCAACCCTAGTCCTCTGTCTGTCTGTCTGTCTGTCTGTCTGTCTGTCTGTCTGTCTGTGTCTGTGTGTCCTTATTTCTGCCCGCCGTGACACTAACACCTCTCGTGGTGCAGGGGGGTCGGCACAGCGGCCGCCGCCGCAACTCTGAGGGCGCGCTCACGCGGAGGGCCGGACCCGGCCGCAGCCCGGAGCGCGGCTCTCCGGCGCGCGGCGCCTCGCCCGGCGGCCCCGGCAACGCCCCTGGCACCGCCAGCATGGGTCGACGCAAGTCCGCCCGAGAGCTGGTAAACTTACGAAAATCTACATACTTAGTACGAAAATTTACAAACTTAATACGAAAATTTACAAACTTTTTAGAAAAATCGACATACTTAAAACTTCACACGTTGGAAAAAATAACCCACCTTTTGTTTTTGTTGTTGTTAACATGATGCGCACAATAAACCCTCAAGACTTATTTAGGTTATTTTAAAATTCTCTCCTTTGAAAAACTGGAGTAATTGATGTAATGATAGTTAACTTTCACCCATCTTTTTTTATTATTTTCTCTAAAATTCTTACCATTTTTCCAGAAGTACATAGTTTTCTTCATTCCCATAAACATATACCAGTTGGCTGATTAACCCCGCGCACTTCCGTAGTTAGACTGTACCGCACGCAGTAGTGCGGGCTTGCCTATTGCCCCTGTCCACGGCGCCTTAAGGGTCGGGCGAGTAAGAAACCCGCCCGCACTCGTGCGTGCGGTGCAGGCTAACTACAGAAGTGCGCGGGGTTAATCAGCCACCTGGTATTTTACCAGAAACGATATGCGCCGAAGGGGAGGGGGGGCTAAAATCCGCCAGTATTTTTGTCCAAAGTGTTGCTCTATCGCAGGAGGGGAGGGAATATCCCCTTGCACTCTAGATCGAACGTCTCTCTCACAATAATCATTCGGTGTCCCGTTGGGTCCACAGCCACGCATCCCCGTGATGGGGCAGCTAGTCCAGCCCCGCAAGCCCAAGCAGCAGGTGCAGCAAGCGCAGCAGCAGCGCGACAGGAGCTCGAGCGGGGACCGGCTGTCCTGCTCGGACAAGGGCCCCATCTACACGGACGACGACGACGAGGAGGAGCAGGTCGAGATCCAGCTCAAGACGTGAGTCTCTTTTCTCGACTGTGTACTGTGTGGGTACGGGGCCCCGCTCTCAGCAGTGTGATTGCTGATGGGAATTTTAAGTGTTTTGTGGATAACTGTTCTCAAGATCTTTAGGTCTGAATTTTTCTGGCAATGATTTAATTTTTTCAAGAATAAAAATGTTCAGGCTAAGTTTCCAATTTTTCCCCCCAAAATGAATAAAACCGGGCTTTTAAAATTCCTTCTTGCTGACTCTCTCCCGAGGGGTCGTCAACTCCCTTCGGCCGTGTACGGAGGAATATATATTACAAGTAATATGTGTAATATCGGTAATATTGATGTAATATTGTGTAATGTCAGTATTATCAAGTAATATCAAGTAATATTATGTAATATCATGTACTATCAAGTAATATTACGTAATATCAAGTAATATTACGTAATATATCAAGTAATACACTGCCGCTCGAAATTAGCGGCGCACTTTTTTGAGCCGGCGTATTTTCGAAGTGTTTTGAGCTAGAATGTCGAAATTTGGCCTGTAGACGTCTCATTAGTTCGTCTTGGATCCCACGAAGTGCGCATCGCTTGCGCCACCCCATACGGCCTGTGCAGCCCCTAAAGTAAAGAGGGGTAGAAAATTCGACCTAAAAGGTTCCGAATTTGTCACTTAAAATGGTCGGAAAGTCGAAATTTTTGGTGTACCGACTCAAATTTGTGTCCTCTTTCGAACGGCGCTAGCGAAATCGCGGTCGTTCAAACCCACCCCCTGCCTTGTTCACCCCCACCCCTATGAAGGGGTGAGTTTTGAGGATGGTCAAAACTACCGTGATATCCCTCCGGGGACACCCCCTGTACACGGGGGGAGTCGAAAAGCACCGCGCCTACCTGGCACAGGGATTAAGAGGCGGAACGGAACATGTGTTTTTTTTCGAATTGGAGAAACCCCGGCCAAACAACCCCCACGAACGTGCAACCCCTTTTCGAATATCGTCCATTTTGGAACCTAAGGGTTGAAGTTTTGGCATGAAACTTTTAGGAATGATTCCTTTTGCCATTTGGAGCACATCCATGCCGAGAAACCCGGTGTCAACATCTTCAACCCCTTTCCAGCGGGTAGCTACCTCCGAGTGACTGTGCACCCCTTTGGGAGGGGATGGAGATCTGGGTCTGTGCGGATCTGTTAAAGAACACCCGAAGGAAGCTTCCCTTAGATTTTCATGTCGATCGGACCAACCATTTTGCGTACAAACTTGATAAAGTAGAAAATCGTTCAAAAACTACCCCCAAGTTCAACTTGCCCTGTCGCCGAACTGAGAAGGGTTAGCGACCCCACCTAAAGCGTCCCTCCTCGGCCCAATCCTTACCTGGAAGGCCGCAGAGTCTTGGGTCCCTGCGGTGACGTTCGCGGCCGTGAGACCGATGTATATATGTAGTTCCTGTTTAAGTTCACTCCCCATTTAATAGAAATACCGGTAACACGTTTCGTAGATGCATGGACGTACACGACAACAAGTACAACAGAGGCCGCGAGCAATGCGGAGCGCTGTTGCCATCAAGTCGTCATGGCTGACTAGTGCAGTATCGCAGGTGGTTCCGGCAACTGGCGTGGCTGGCGGTCTTTGTAAAAAGCCATTATGACTGTGGTAGGCCTACGATTCACCACGCACAGTTTCTAAATATTAACAGAAATGTTTGACCCTTCCGCGGCACCACCAGAAACAATTCTGAAGTGTGCTAAGTTGCTCGGCATGAACAATTGATGTTGTGATGAATTTCGAGTAATATCAAGTAATATCGAGTAATATCAAGTAATATCGGGTAATATTGTGGAATATCGGGTAATATTGTGGAATATCAAGTAATATGTGTAATATTAGAGTAATATTAGAGTAATATCAGTCCGTGTACGAAGGAATATCGGAGTTGACGACCCCTCGCTCTCTCCTCCTTGCCCTCGCAGGGCGCGGCGGGCGGCCGGACGGTCCCAGTCGACGCACCACGCGCGCGTCTCCGCCGCCAGGCCCGCCGTCAGAAACGCCGCGGCCTACGCGTCCTCCTCAGACAGCGAGGACTACGACAACTTCCCGTGAGTACACACTGTTCGAATCGACGTCATATCGAGTGTAAGGAGGGATAATACTTTTCCGACTGGGAAGTTTACTTTTGTTTTCCAAAATCTCTCAAAATTTCTCATTTCTGTCTGGAAATGTTTCTAATTTTCTCGCGGAAAAAAATTCAGATTTTAAATATCCTTAATCGACCGTTCGATGAACTGTTTTCCAGGCGCCGCAGCGTAGCCTACGGTTCCGGCGGTCGCGGCAGCCGCGTGCCTCGCTCCCGTTCGCTGCAGCAAGTCTCTCCCAAACCACCCCACCAGCAACAGCAGCAACAACAACAGCAACAGCAACAACAGCAGCAACAGCAGCAGACGAAGGGCCACCAGAAGCACAAGACGCCGGCGCTGCAGCAGCAACACCATCCCCAGCAGCGGCAGGCGCCGAGGACGCAGTTCGCCCAGAAGCAGGTGTACCAGGGTGGCGGCGGCGGCGGCTTCCCCCAAGAGTACCACCACCCCTTCCCGGTGGACCCGCAGGACCAGGTTCAGCACCACCCGCCTCAGCAGCATCAGCCGCACCACCAGCCTGCTCAGCACCAGCCCCACCACCAGCCTGCTCAGCACCAGCAGCCTGCTCAGCAGCACCCGCCGCAGGCCGCGCCGGCCAAGGCAGCCAAGGGCAGCCGGGAGAAGGACCTCGACAAGGAGAAGCTGGAGTACGACCGCATGTTCCTGCACGACCGGCAGCAGGAGGGCTTCCTGGCGCGGGTGCAGGACGAGCACCAGCGCACCGTCATGGCCGAGTTCATGGCGTCGCTGCCGCCGGCCGAGGTCACGTACAAGACGGTGAACAAGCAGCGGCCGCCCAAGCACCCCGCCAGCGGCGGCGGCGGCGGCAGTGGGGGTGGCCTGCCGGCCGGCCGGCCCAAGTCGCTGCCTAAGGAGTCGGCGTCGCTCCCGCGCGCCGCCCGCAAGGCCGACAAGCAGAAGGCGTCGTCGTCGGCGGTGGCGGTGGGCGGCTACGACCAGGACGCCGCGCTGCAGGACGCGCGCCAGGTGCAGGACTACCTGCGCGGCACGGGGCGGCAGCGCAGCGCGGCGCGCGCACTCCTGGAGGGCCGGCGCCCCGACCAGCCCGGCGTCCCCGGCCCCAACGAGTACCTGCCCAGGACCCGGGAGGAGGCCGTCGCCATGGTGGCGGCGCACGCGCAGGGCGACGCTCTCGACCTGGTGACGGTGCCGGCGCGCGCGAGGGACGGCAGGTCAGTCAGAGAGACTTTTTTTCAAATTTCCCTAGAATCTTTTTTTTTCCTTTTTTTTCCAAAAAATTGAAATATTTCCATTTCCAGAAAAGTTTGGAAAATTCGGGCCAGATACTTTTAAAAATTCTGGAAAAATTTCCTCAAAGTACTTTTCTTTAAAAGTAAAATCGTTAAAATCCCTACGCATGGTCGGGTGGAGCAGTCTTTCTACTTATTCTCCTTTCAATACGACGCCAAATGTTATTCACGCTCACTTTACGTGTCTCCAGGACGGCGGCCAGCTTCGGCTCGGTGGGCAACGTGCAGTTTGGCGGCACCGTGTTCCACGAGGACCTGGGCGCCGCGTCGGACGGCGGGCTGGTGGGCGGGCCGGCGGCGTACCGCGGCGGCTACAGCAACTACCTCAGCGACCACTACCTCAGCGACCAGTGCGACCAGCAGCGCGCCTTCCACAGCACCTTCCAGGGCGTGCCCGCGCCGCAGGGCTACCCGTACTCCATGCAGGCCCAGAGCATGTACATGGGCGGCTCGCACCAGGGCGGCCTGCAGGCCGGCGGCCCGGGGGCCGTGTGGCAGCCCCAGCAGCAGCCACACCAGCAGCAGCAGCAGCAGCAGCCGCACTATGCCACGGCGCCCAGGTCGCAGCGACAGCAGCAACAGCACATCCCCTACTCGCAGAGGTGAGACAACAACCTGCTGCTCCACACGGGGAGAAAAGATTAGGTACCTAAACCAACAACTGAACCCGGCATTACTAACTATTTCGCTATTCAGCTAAAACTTTTTGGGAAAATTAGCCATGTCTGATTAAATAGGTAATTTTTAGCTATATAGCCAAGTAGTTATCCCGTATTTAGCTTTGGTTAAGCTTCACAGCAAACCTTTTGCGTTACGTACAGTATGACTCAAATGTTAACTCGTTGTTAACTCACTTACCAATTATACTTTATTTATTGCAGTGCTCACCTACCCCGTCGATCCGAAGGCAATCTGGTGGATGCCCAAGCGTAAGTATACACCAATTTTCACTTACAACATGTTCGATATTTAAAAGGGCATCGGTCTGTAGGGTAATCTGTCTGTCTTTGTCGCACACACGCGCGCGCGCGCGCCTCCGGCCTCCCCCCCCCGGCAGGCGCACGACCGTTGAGAAATAAATGGGGGG